AGACCTACTAATACACAGTCCCAATTAGGGCTAACCGTTATCAAAACACTTCGATCTCGGCGAGATTGTGACATGACACCGAAAGCAGGTGCGTGCTTAATTTTAACGCTAGTGCGCAAGCGCAGGCTGATCGAGAGGGGCTCTCGATGACTTCGCGGTTCGGTGAACAAACACAAAAGCGACGTGCTATAGAATCTTGACTGGGGCAGAGTTGCCAATCCCCTCTATATACTGTCCCTGCTATAACATAGCTTACAATCACACACAAACATACTTACATACTACCAGGGATGTACACATCCCTGATACTACTAACACATACAAAAAAATATGCAGAAACTTGAGGAAAGTAATAACAGTAGGTCGAGCAACTGAGTATTTTTTTTATCTTTGACAAGATCCCTTGTTTTCTTGAACAGTGCTGCTCTTTGTTTTGTCAAAGCTTCATTAATGAAGACTCTACACCTGTGGTCGTAGTTCACCAGCTGGTAACCTATCTCTGTGGTCATCACAGCTTATGTGTACTTTGTTTGACCTATATATTCGAACCCGGCTGTCTGGGTTGTAGGTATATACACATGTGTATTGTAATTCCTCCAAACTTTAGTTAGCAGCCGAGCATTCAGACCTTACAAATCACACGATGTGCGAGTGGGTTGAGGAGAAAGATTCAGATGGAAATTGCCTGAAAACCAAAAAATACAAAGGGAAATATTACGCCAGTATTATTCCTGGAAATGTCAAGGATCAACTGGAGAGGCTAGAAAACATGGAAGTCCGTGACGATGACACTTTTGTACTCTCCTACCCAAAGTCAGGTACACTTTATTTTAACTGTATCGTGTCGACATGTTCTCAGAAATGCTCAGAGTAACAACGAGAATTTCTATGACGAAGCGTGTATGGTTTTACATGTACGTACCTTTACATAATACAGAACCGCCGGGATATTACTACCACAGGTGCATGTCGCATTTTAGAAGTTTGTGCACAAAAATCATATTGTACTTTTCAAGCAAAATTATTCTAAATTCTAAATTCCTGTTAAAATTTCGTTTTAACTGGTTAATATAGACTGGCCCCATCTCTAGAATATTAAATTATTTAGAAAAACTTAATTTTGATAATTTTGATCACTTGGATGTCTCATTCTAAGTTATAGACTAGGGATGATAAGCTAGTAATAAAATGCAGTTTAGAACTTAGGGGCTGGTAGGCAGTCTACGGTTAACAGTGTTCAATTGTTTTACATGTGCTGACGCTGGCATTTTTAGCGCACCTGGAAGTGCCAAGTGAGCTAATGCCGTGGCGCGGCATCCGTTGTCCGTCCGTCGTCCGGCGTCAATATTTTACTTTAAACGACTTCTTCTTTATAACCAAAAGGCCTAGGGTGATGATATTTGGCCAGAAGCAAACTTGGATGAAGGGCTACAAAGTTTGTTAAAATTAATGACCTTCACCAATTTTCAAGGTCACAGGGGTCAAATATGTCAAAAACTTTAAACATCTTCTTCTCAATAACCAAAATGCCCAGGGAGTTGATATTTGGCCAGTAGCATGCTTGGGTGAAGGGCTACCAAGTTTGTTCAAATGAATGACCTTCAATCATATTCAAGGTCACAGGGGTCAATTGTATTAAAAA